GCGAAATTCAAAACAAACAAACAAACAATAAATCTTTGGAGCCGCTATACACATATCATAGACAAATATTTAAACAACTCCATCTCGCTATGACCTACAAACAGTTTACCCCACGTACCAGTTCTATATAATACACATACCTCATAAAGAAAGAAATATTGTTCCTTTGTTTGGACAGCCCCATCTCTGTCTTGTCTAAGTCTGTACACGCAACGGAGGATGTCCACAGTTCGACATTCTTCATACTCTCTCATACAGATGTCTAAGGCTAACACAGTGCCAGTTCTTCCTGTACCTGAACTGTAATAAAAAGAGCATATTATCCTATAATGTAAAGCTAAGGTGTTCAGTACTTTTTTTTTCATAATGCTTCACATAAACTACTTCAAAATGGCAAAGTTCACAATATGTCGAATGAGGAAAAAGGAATAACCTTTTTTTTTAATATTTCTGTTTCAGAAGTTTAAAACAACATATTGTCAAGCATTTTTCTGTGAAAAAAAAATTTAAAAACAGTTTTCGAAAGTCTCAATCAGTGTTTAAAAATATCGCTTTCAGTAAGCCGCTATTTACTGGCGTCAAGTCAAAGTTTTTCCGGTATGTTCCTTTTTGTTATTCAAATAAACAAAACAAGGGACATTATTCATTACTAAAAAAACAACTTAAACATTAATTTATATTTTTCATTAGCTGGAGTACCCGTCCTCTGGACGGAATATATATAAATTCATGATTAATGAAAGGTTATCTTAGGACATGAAATGTTGCTTCCCTTATATGTAACTGTAAAATACGCAAAAACGCCCATAAAAACTGCAAAACACAAAATGTGAAACCGCAACGTTGCATGTATTTCTCCATGGTCCAATTAAACCAACATACCAAATTTGGTGGAGATCCATCAACAGGGGGGCGAAATAGTGATAAAAAACGTCCATAAAACTCGCAAAACGCAAAATGCTTAACTGAAAATTTGTATGTACCCCTACATCGACCCAACGAACCTCCACACCAATTTTGGTGAAGATCCATTCACACCCTGCGAAGTAGTTACATGGACAGACAACAGACAGTACTATTATATTTATATAGATTTATTGGATATAACCTTGTTATTGCTCAATTTGAAATACATTGTACGCGTTTCAATAATTCGGAATCTACAATATTACAAAAAACGCCTATTTGTTCGATTTTGTTACTGTTTTAAACAACACACATAACGACCTAGGGATAATGTAACTGAGTTCAAGTTATAGCATGTAGAATTGTTGCTTTTATTTCAGTTCCACAAAATCTGATCTGAAACTAAAACGCAACAGTTAACACTAAATTTGCATTTCGCCATACTGTTAGAAAATATATAAATAACTGATTATGAAATGTTATTAACTAACTTACTTGCCACGTTCATGTACACATTAGAGAACGGTAGTCTGATTGGAGAAAATGTTATTAACTAACTCACTTGCCACGTTCATGTACACATTAGAGAACGGTAGTCTGATTGGAGTTACTAAGGCGACATAAGTAATTACTTAAGGATTTAATACTAATGGTACATTTCCGCTGATCAAACAAAATACATATCACGACTAGACTAATTGCACACTATCGCCCCCTGGTGGCTCAGCGGTGAGTTTGGGGCTCATAACTCCAAGAATCGAGTTTCAGCAGATAGCTCATTGTGTAGCTTTTAGCTTAATAGAGAGAGAGAAAAAGCAATACATTAATCTTATATATATATATATATACGACAGATTTCTGTTGAACATAAAACACATTTTAACACACGACGTTTGTAAGGTAAGGTAGTAATTCATCTACTAAGGTTATCAGTGCTTGAATCATTTTGAATGTAATACATTACTCTCGCTTCTATTTAATTTAGTAGAAGCTCTTTTTCTTAAACTTACCTACAATGAACAACAACAGGGCCAGTGTTATTGATCATATAACGCCGAGCTTCCAATAAAAACTGCAGCATTTTGTTGACGTCTTCAGGAACTCCATTCGGTGGCCAGGTTCTGTACCAGAGATGAGTTATTTCTCGAAACAAATTTCTCTAAGTAGTAGAAGCTCTTTTTCTTAAACTTACCTACAATGAACAACAACAGGGCCAGTGTTATTGATCATATAACGCCGAGCTTCCAATAAAAACTGCAGCATTTTGTTGACGTCTTCAGGAACTCCATTCGGTGGCCAGGTTCTGTACC